TTTTTTACAAAAAAGTAAAATTATTTTGTTTTTTTGTTATTACTTATTTTAATTATAATAATATATTTTATTTTAATATTAAATATATCTAAATAAATTTTAATTATTTAATAAATGTGGTTACGAATTTATAATTAAAATTTGAAGGACATTATTGTCATTTAAAAAATAGTTAGTCTAGTGGGACAGTTGCTAAATGATATTAGTCGAAAGCCCTGTTCGAAAACGTGGCCGGAGTGGCATATTCCGTGCCGGTGCAGCACTCGGCGGCAGAGGTCCGCCGTGATTATGGTATAATAGATTAAAAACGCGTTTGGAAATTTGTTTCATTTATGTTTTGGTGATTTCGAGTCTCAAATCGGTAAATATATCATAGATCTATCATGATTTAATGGTATAAACAAAGAAATGAAGTTGAATCGAATCAAATCAACCCAAAAATGATGATTTATGATGAAGAACGGCTGCAACATAATGTCTGGCACACTGAATTACCGATGGTCTACATCATTTCTGCTATGTCTATCATTTAAAGCTATGTTACATTCCAACTATTTAAAAAAATCCGCCCTGCCTAGGTCTCGCTGACTCTTTTTATTTTAAATAACTCGCTAGGCCCGGGGTAGCCGCCCAACTAATGTCTAGCGTAGTTTCGAACATGGGTCTAAAGGGATAATATTCTTGTTTTTTTGCCTAAAAAAATAATTTTCCCAATAACAAAAGGAAAATATCAATTACTATGATTTACTCTGAAATCTTATCAATCAGGTAAAAACATTTTCCTCCTATTAGCAATTACATTACTCTGTTTTACTTTAGTATACTGTTAACAGAGTAAAACAAACTAATAAATTTACTCCAATTCAAACAAGCATAAATGTATTTACCCGAGTTTACTCCCTATCCCATTTTTATTTTTCTTCTCTATTTCACTTTTTTCTTTTCCTCTGATTTACTCTACATATTCCAATCACCGTCAATAATTGAGAGTATACACTTTTCTGTAACGACCGGACCGCCAACGGCTAATGGGCCACCCACACCTGCTCTTTCGGCCCGTTGGCCTCATTCCATTTGACGGCTGGTGCATTAATTTTTCCAAGGCTTGAAAGTCATATTTACTGACCCTGTAATCACCACCAAAAAATGTAGATGAAAACATAAATCCATAAGCATGAAAAATGTAAGAAAAAGAACGTCTAAAAGTATCAGTCCGAGCACATCAATTGGTGACAACTTATCTTATGGAAAATTGTTAAAGTGTGAGGTTTTGGGTTCGAGGAACGCCAAGCGCACCTATAACCTACCAGGGAGAGCTTAGGACTTACATATGAGGAGCTAGGGTCGATGTCCTGCAGGCTATGAGCCTGGGTCCGCATGACGCGGATTGTCATAAGATGATTATAATAATGCTAATTTAAATCAACCAATCACACTCTTAATCAAAGTCTAAACTATATACGGTCTCCCAGAAATATGACTATGACCCACATAACCTTTATTATTCATATACTAGGAGAAGTTCACGCAAATTTTAGTAATTGTTAAAAAAATGAAATTTGGTTTTATTCATATTATCCTTTTGATTTCATAATCATATTTGTTTCTGTTTGCATCTTAAAGTTCATTAAAACTCATAAAAATCTATTGTTTTTGTTTTCAAGTTGTAGCTTGGTTCCACCACCTATCAAATCGTGGATTACCCCCTCCGCGCTCGTAACATTTTGGTATCAGAGCTAAAGTTCCTGACTAAGGTGATATTTATCTTCCATCATATTTTGTCACTTGCTTGTATTTTTAAATAAAAAATCCATAAGAAAAACTGTCTTTTTGCTTGATGTTTTGTTTCTACATATTTTTTTTTTTTGTTCTTGCTGTTCATTATTTTTAAAACCAGAAAAGAAAAAGAAAGAAGGTGAAGTTAGATAGCTAGATCCACGAAAATTCAACAAAAAAAGGCATAGTTGCTTGCATTCATTAGTTGCCTTAAAAGAAAAGTAAAAAATATGTGTTTAATTTGTTTCAATTCATCTTTGCTTTGCATATCAAGCATACATAAATTCAAAAAAGAAAATCGTTCTAGTTATTGTTTCGAATCATATTAATTGATCCATTTCGTGCTATGCACCAGAAATGAACAATAAATATTTACGCATAGTTTATATCTTTTGCATAATTGTTGGTTTATGCACACTAAAAAAATCAGTATTAGTTTGCTTTTCATATTTTCTTGTGCATTGTGTTGAATATCATTTTATATTGTTTCATTTCGAGTTTGCATCAAGAAAACCAAATAAAAATGATTTTCCATAGTTTATTTCATCTCGGTTTATATTTGCATAATTCTCAGTTTAGTCTAAGTTGCATTGTTGCATTTGTTTGTTTGTTCTACCAGAACTTCTCTATATTTCACTTGATATTTGAGAGTAATTTCAGGAAACCATTGTAGGAGAAACTCACAGCCGATCCGTAAGGGCCATACTGAACCAACAATTGACAGCTCTTGAAGAAGTCAGTTATCAGATCGCTCAGTTGAGAAAAAGAAATAAGTCACAAGGAAGACGACCACAGTAAGGACAAAATAGATTTAAAGATGCATCAGAGACTGTCTATGTCGAGCCCAAGCCACCAGATCCTTCAAGGATCAATCAATATCCAACTTCCAAAAAAACAATCATCATGTTGTTAATTCTTGGTTTGATTATAATTATGTTGCTGATAAAGTCCAATCCTTTTATTTTTCAGGGAAAAGAGGTTATCTACGGTGGGAAAGAAACCTTGATGAGTGGTTTCACTACATAAACATCCTAAAAAAGGAAAGGTTGTCATATGCCATTGATCAACTAAAACATGATGCTTTTAAATGGTGGGTACCAAAAAAGGATGATAGATGGTTTTCCAAGGAGCCAACTATCAAGACATGGAGAGCTCTTAAAGAAATCATGAGAGAAATATTTACACCATATTTTACTAGGTCTGATATCCAGGAACTATTTCCAAGGAGGTATCCTACTCATGGTTTCAAAGAAGCAGTTGAATTTATGCCACAAGAGAGTCAATGAAGCTTGCCTCCACAAGACAACTTTCGGCCAAACGAAGGGCACACCACTGCCCATTGCTTAGAAAAAATTAGTGATATCCCAAGGGCTATGGAGAAAAAGAAAAGTGCTAGCCAAGACACGTTGAGCATACCCAAAAAAAATCAGACAAACGGATACTTCAATTAAAGGCTATGGTAAGTCCTATATTTGATAAATTGGTTTGTAAATCATCTCCCACGGGTATGGGTCACCTGGCTTTGTTAAAGGGTGTTGTAACAGGAATTAAAGAGCATGAATTGATGTTCTGCGTTTTACCACATGCCAATTAACCTAATGTGCATGCTACCACAATCAAAGGGTATATCATTGCAACACTTTAGGATCGAATCCACAGAGAACTAGTGATTGGTAACACTAAGAATACACAAATTTCCTTAATCTAAGCAAATAGGGACGTGAAGAGATATCTAGACTAATGGAACGTAAAGGCAAGTAATAGCTAATACTAGATAAGTTAAATCACTAAGAAAGACAAACTCTTAGGTATGGTAATTGATCAGAGATGATTGACTTAAACTTATATGCCAAACATAATCAATTAACAATCTTTTCTTTAACCTAGGAACACAATAATAAGTTAATCCACTCTCATGATGATAACTCCTACACTAGTCATGGATCAAAAAATCAACTCTCGTTGGTCAGCTACACTCAAGCATGTATTCAAACAAATCCTAATAGCCGAAATACCCTTAATGCAGCGACTCTCGTCAGTTAAGCAGCAAAACACAATATGAGACATTCAGACATTTTATCAAACACCTCTCGGGGATGTAAATAATCCAAGATCTAGAAATAGAAAGATCAAGTCTACTCTAGCATTAAGTACATCTCATTTGTAAGAAACGATATTAATCTAGCCTTAAACATCATCAATCATTCATCTTTCACTCTAATCTACCAATCCAAAATCTCTACAAAACTTACTTACTAAAAGCCATTGAAACTCAAGAATCTGTCATCGATCCTTGAAGAATATGTTTAGAGAAGACTAGAAAAGATATAAACAAGATAAGTACTTTGATTAATGCTAAAATTAACAAGAGTTTCAGATCTAAAAAAGGAGAAAAAGTGGCTAAGGTAGCTTAGGTTTTTTATCACCCTTACAAACATATATATAGGAAAATAAAATAAGGTTCATTCGCTAAATGCTAGGTCTAAGTTGCCATATTGAAAAAATTTTCTTTTGTGCCACAACCTCGATGTGATGCATATAGAGAAAAATGTTTTTGAGAAAAAACGTTAACGTAATTAAAGTTGAGGGTTTATTTTGTAAGATTTTTAGTTGAGGGTTTATTTTGCGATTTATTTTTAGTTGAGGAGTGTAATTACTAAAAATCCGTGTTTTTATTAATATTATCATTTTGATTTATAATCATATTTGTTTCTGTTTGCATCTTAAAATCCATTAAAACTCATTAAAATCTATTGTCTTTGTTTTCAGGTTGTAGGTTGGTTTCACCACCTATCAAATCGTGGGTTACCCCCTGTGACACTATGGTACTTGGAGGTCAGCCTCGTCCTAAGCTATCAGACGAGATTGAAAATATATGCAGCTTAAAGTCTTGAAAATGTATAATGAAAAAACTATGGCCACAGACCTTGTACATTGAAGCTATTGTTACAGGTTCAATGGCACAATATGTTCCTACATTGAACCATTATTGTGATGACCTGCCTCTTGTTTCAACAAATTACGCTTTTCCCGAGTCAATCTTCGGTATTAATATTGATCCTTTGTGTAAACCTGAAGACATCCCTTAAACGCTCATGCCAAACATATGTTACTTTTGAGTTTATACCGAGGATGATGTGGACCTCGCAGATGTCAAACTCGGCTGTTCTTACCAGTTACTAGTCACAACCTTATGGGGTTTGTATAGATTGAGAATTGTAGATATGGTAAAGGTGACTGGATTCCACAATAAGGCACCTCAGTTTAGGTTTATGGAAAGAGAGAACGCATTGTTAAGCATTGATACCGACTGGACAAACGAAGAATACTTGTTCAAGGCTTTGAATCAAGCAACACTGGTTCTTGAGTCATCAGATCTAAGGCTTGTAGCTTTCACCAGCTATGCTGATGTCTCCAGTAGTCCAGGTCACTATGTAATTTACTTAGAAGTAAAGGCTAAAAACAAAGACATTAAGGTCCTCGAGTTCGAGGAAAAGACATTCTTGGAGTGCTGTGTTAGTAATGGAGGATTTGTTTGACGCTGAGTACAGGTACTGTCGGTCTAACGAGTTTGTTGGTCCTCTCTAGATTAGAGTACGGAATGATGGGACGTTTGATGCTCTTATGAACTTGTCCATCTCAAAGGGTACTTCGGTTACTCAATATAAGACTCCAACATGCATCACATCTGAAATTGGTTTCAAGTATTGCAGACAAATGTGGTTGCTAGATTCTTCAGTATTCTAAATGCATCTCATTTTGCTTAACTCATCTAATGTGGTCCAAAAAATGGGAGAAATTGTGTGTTTATTTGTATTTGTTTTCTTGCTATCCATTACTATTTGCTTATTGCTTCATTGATAAATTATGCTTTGAAACTTATGATTTAAGAATTCTCAGATGTATTATCCTTAGTTCTTGCTCTTCATCTCCTGGTTTCCCTGAACTTTATACTTTCTTGTAGTGATGATTTGTTTTAATATGAAATTCATTAATAGGATACTAATCTATAGCTTGATAACCGGTCCTCTTATGTTGGAGCACATTATAATGAACCTTAAAAATTTCATGTTTAATTTTTTTAGAAAGTTGACAAAAACAAAACCAAAAAATTAGAAAAAAATATATTACCATTTCAAATCCCAGATTTGAAATTTGTGCTTTAAGAACCAACTAGATTTTGACCCGCGCTTGAAAGCGCGAAATTTTTTTTATAACTAAAATTTATATAATTGGGTTATCTCTTAATTTAAAGAATGTTTTGGTATAAAATCAGTTTATCAAAATTTGTGGTGACGATTTTTTTCATTAGTTTTTAGTTTCAGTTTTTATTTTTAGATTTTGATTTTTAGTTTTTAAGTTTCTATTTTTGATTTCCAGCTTTTGTTTAAGTTTTTAATTCTTAGATCCGCTGAGTTAGTTTGAACTGATATTACCAACAAACAAATTTCAAATAATCGAACATCTAATTTAAAACTGAAAAGATGACAAAAAAAATTTATAAAAAAAAATTGCAATAGTTTATTTTGTAAATAAACAAAAGCAAAAACTATAACAATATGTTATCCAGAACAATGCGTTTTCAGCTTTTGGTTTTGGGTTTTAGTTTTTAGAATTGGTTTTTGGTTATGCTTTACATTTTTTTTTTAAATCAGTAACTTATTTAAGAAAAATAAAATAATAAATTATTTAAAAGTTACCTTTGAAATTTATCAAAAAAGTGATTATTATTTAAAATAAAAAATACAATAACATGTTTTAAATTACATGATTTAAATAAATGATTAATAATAGACAATTGTGTTTTGTTAAAAATATTAAATACATTTGGGCCTGAAAATAATAATTTATTTTTTGATCCATTAAGATATAAATTTTATTCAATTTTTTTTTGGAGTTTTTCCTTAATAGTAAGCCTAAAAATCAAACCATATAATTTGTCCTAAAAACAAAAGTAAGTCCAAGACTATATCTCTTAAATAACATCGGTTTAATTTAAGTAATGCGGTTCAGTTAACTATATGGCTTGTTGTAACACTCTAGAAAGAGTGCAAATTTAAATGGCAATTTGTATTAATAGATAAAAAGAAAGACTATATTTTAATAGAGTAGATTTTCATTGGTTTCATATAATTATTAAATTTCCATTTTTTTAAGGAATTGTTAAGATGCTAAATGGTATATTACGATTTCCACATTAATATAATTAGTAGATTTCCATATTCCATATTTTGATAATATATATTTTTTTAGAACATTCCATATTTGTAGGAGAAAATATGTGTTTATGGTAGACACATAGATATCTGCCATATTTTGAAGATACTTTACATTAAGGTCGCCATGTTACATTAATTGTGTTGGTTTAATTTAATTAATGCGGTTCAATCAATTATAAGACTTATACTATTTGTAACACTCTAGAAGGATCCAAATTTAAATGACAACTTGTATCGGTAGATAAAAATAATGTCTCTATTTTAATAGATTAGATGTGGTTCAATTAACTATATGGTTTGTATTATTTGTAACACTCAAGAAATGGTCTAAATTTAAATGACATCTTGTATTAGTAGATAAAAAGAAGGATTCTATTTTAATAGAGTAGATGTATTCTATGGATAAAAATAATCAAACCCGAAAATATAGGAGAAAATATTTGGAAATATTCAGTTTCCATATTTTTAAATTCGAGTTTTTTTTAAAAAAAAAGGAAAAACTAATTTCGAATTAGTATGGGGATTTTTTAATAATTTTTTTTAAATTTCAAATTAGTTTTTAATTAAATCTGAAATAGATAATAATGATTTTCTAATTATAATTATAATTATAATTATAAATTAATAAATTAATTTTAAGGGCAGTATTACCATTTAAAAATATTTAGTCTAATAGGACAATAAGTAAATGAGATTAATCTAAAGGGACAATGTCCTAATGGTTTTGGTCTAAAAAAGCCATTTTCCCTATATATTCTTCTATTCTCCATATTTTCGAGTTTGCATTCTTATGTCTTGATATATACCTGAAGAGAAAAATTGATTATGGTGGGTGAAACTGATTGTGGTGCGTGGTAAGGAGATATTGATGACTGAAGATGGTGTTTCTAAAAAAAAGATGATGACTGAAAATAGCAAGTAGAGCAGCTACCATTAAGAAACGTAAGTGCTGACAAAAAAAAAAAAAAAAACGTAAGTTAATGCATAGAATAATTGATTAGATTTGTCTTTAGTTAGATTAATGTTATTATGACCTATTGTATTAGATAACAGATTTCGTTTGCTTTGATTTAATTTGTTTCAGATTAGTTTTAGGGACTTATCGGCCATATAGCGTAAAATACTATGTAATGCATGTTTTATGTAAATAGTGCATTTAGTCTTAGTGAAATTAATGAATGGACCCAAAACTTAATGATAACATTTAACAGTAGATAAAATTAGGACTCTATTTTAATAGAGTAGATTAAATACGAAGGAAAAGTATACAATATTTTTAAAATAGTTACTTTGCTTTAGTTAAAACCTTAAAAAATACATTAGATAGACCAAAGATTTAATTGAGAATATTAAAAATAGCAAATAAGAATGTCAGTAACATATTGATATAGCCTCTTTTTCTTTCGTTATACATCAACCATATAATACTATAGTTAAAGTCACACGACTCACACTACTTGACATGTTTGCTAAGCATCTATTAAAAAATTAGTGAAATAATTTAGAAGGATGATGTATAGATAGATAGATGCTTATAATTAGATAGTCATTTTAACAAAATAAATTAAAAGAATCATATTTGATTAGTTTTATATTACAGACAGGAAAAGCTAACCCAAAAAATCGCATAACGTCACAAATAATTGAGAGGAGAATAAATACGAAAAAACTTTGAACTGCTCGAAGCTTAAACAAAGGAAGAGGAAGAAGAGGAAGATTCATCAATGGAGCGTTCTCCAGAAAGATCGAAACGCCTCCATAATTTCACCTTACCTTATCTGCGTTGGGGTCAACAGAGATTCCTCAGATGCGTCAATCTACCTTCTTCTTCTCATTCTTCTCCAGATCACGCAGCCAGCAGATCCGTCTCCGTCGTGACTGCGTCTCGGCCGTGGAATCTGAGGACGAGAAGAGCTGCGTGTAGTGATCCCGGAGATGAATGTCCTGGGAAGATCGAAATCGGCATGAAGAGAGGTGTAGATGAACAAGAACAAGAGATGGAGAAATTTAAATTCTCGGTTTCGTTGTTGAAGAAAGAAATCGAAGAGGATTTCTCGAACATGATTGGGAAAAGACTTCCAAGGAGACCTAAGAAGAGACCAAGGATTGTTCAGAAGAAACTCAATGTAAGTTTTGTCTTAAGGAAATAAATCAAAATCAATGCTTTGCTAATTATTATTTTTGTTTTTGATTTGGGCAGACGATTTTTCCTGGATTGTGGTTGTCAGAAGAAGTAACGATCGATTCGTATGATGTCCCTGAAGCTGTGGAAACGTGACAAATGTGTTAACTTCTTTGTTTCTCAC